GTACACTCCGTGGGCCAAACATCTACTCGGACCACTATCTTTATGCATCCAAGATACCGAACGGCAAAAAATGTGTTTCCAACAATAGCAGGAAAGCTCAAGGCCGAAAAACTGCAATCACAACAGACGTCCAATTTCTTCGCCACTCGACTCTCCCGCCTGCTCTCAGAGAGAACTCTTCAACAAACCGACATACGCGATCAGTGGAATCACATTTACCGCTCATTAAGGACCGCCGCCGAAGAAATAGTCAGATTTTAGCGAGCCTAAACGAAAAACTGGTACGATGAGAAAAATCAAGAATCTGCAGAGAAAAACGATGCTGCGTCCAAACCACGCTGCGATCGGGCGCAAAGCGAGCCATGTTGGACCGTTATAGGGAACTGAAGAGACAAGCGAGATGTCCAAATCCTACGTAAAACTATTGAATGGCAGCAGCACAGAAATTAGTGGAGAATACGAACCCAAGCCACTAGCCGTTGACGATTGAGTCGATGTCCCACCGCCTGACCATGACAATGTGCCAATAGCGATTAAACGACTAAAAAATAACAAAGCTGCTAGAGTTGACGGCCTGCCAGCAGCCGAGCTCTTCAAGTACGGTGGCGAGGAGGTGGTATGGTACATGCATCAACTCCTATGCAAAATATAGTCAGCGGAACGCACTGAAATTTAGGTATGCTTTGTCCACCCCACAAGAAAGGCGACCCCGCCGTGCGCACAAACTACTGCGGATTCAGCCTTCTAAGCATAGGTTACAAGGTCTTATCGATCGTGATATACTGAAACCAACCTTCAACGAACTGATTTAGCCTTATTAGTTTAGTTTTAGACCTGGAAAATCCACCATACACCAGGTATTCGCAATACGCCAAATCTTGGAAAATACTCGAGAGAACAGGATCGACAGGCGCAATCAAAGCCGCTTTCGACAGCACGAAAAGAAGTTGTCTATATGACGCGATGTCTTAATTTGGTATCTTCGCGAAAATAATATGGGCTATGTAAAATGCCGTTGAGCAATACCACCAGCTCCGTTAGAATTATGAAAAACCTCTCCGAGCCGTTTGCTACCAAAGTGAGTTTCAGTCAATGTTAATCCCTTTCATGTAATTTATTTAATGTGATGTTGGTGAAGATAATATAAGCTGCAGAAATGAAATGCTCGGGAACAATTTTTACAAGAGCGTGAAATTTGTGGCGTATACCAATGACATCCACATCAGCGGCAACAAGAACCCTTAAGTTCGTTCTGACTTTTCCAAGTTGGATAAGGAAACAAGTTGATTGGGTATGGTGGTCAATGAGGACAAGACAAAGTACCTTCTGTCCACAAATGACAGTCGGCGCATTCGCTCCTTGGTACCCACGTTACTGTTAACAGTTATAATTTCGAGAAAGTAGAGATTTCCATTTACTTGGGAACGAGCATTAACAGCGGTAATAATGTCAGCATGTTGGACTGAGTAGGCAATGCAGAAGTAAAGTACTCTCTCGAAGTATGAAAACCACTCTCTATAAGTCACTCAATATGCCCATGGTTGTATGTGGCAGTGCGATGGAAAGACCAAGTGGAGAAAGAGTGTGCACAGAAGAGAAACGACTGACGTGCTTTTTTGAACTCCGCCAAAATCTCTTAGGAGTTTTTTTTGTATCTGTATACAACTTTTTTCGATATTGTGTATTGAGCCCCAGCCTTGATTTCTTCAGTCTAAATATTGTATATAGAAAAACCCAAAATTGAATGATTTATGAGCGCTAGATAAATGATTTTAACTGTATATGTATAATCATACAAACATACAAATGTATGTGGGTAGAGGTAGGATCTAGTCTAGACGAAATAAAAATTTATTTGAAGTTTTCTATCCCTCAAGTTTCTCGCTTTGCAAGCAATAAAATATGTACGTGCAATAATACCAACTCTTAAGAATATAAATATTTGGCAGTAAAAAAAAAAATATAAATAATAGCTACTTGAAATTTGATTTTGAAAATGATTTAGTGTCCATATAAAATTTAGTCATAGCTGCATTAATTCATTCAAAGTTCAATCAGCAATAACATTACATACCAACACTAAATGTTTTCCAACGTACAAATGCTTGATCACCCACTAATTTATAGGCGTTATGACTAATCAAATTACTGTCCATTATTGCCTGATTTATTATTTACTTATACTTCATCGGATCTTAATCATTTTAGCAAACATATCACTGGCGTTTAGCTCTATCATTCGAGAATTGGCTATAATGAAGGGCCGCCCTCGTAAGCAGCGCCGAAAAATATTCGAAAACACTCTAAGAATGCTTCCGCCATCTAATATCAGTATCGCGAATACCAGTCACCTCTTATCAGCAGCAATATGCGTGCCAAATTTATGCTATAAAAGTGGAAGCACCCCACTGTGTAAATTCAAATTATTTTGAGCTACCGTAAGGTAAACAACACATTGCCATATAAAAGTTAAAGCGAACGAAATGTATAAAATCGTAATTATTCTACTGAGCGCTTTAGCGCTATGGACAAGTTGTGCGGCGCGTGATATTGGCCGTGTAACGAATAGCAACTCCATTGAAGGTCGCATCATTGGCGGCTATGCGATAGAAAAGGGTGTCGCCCCCTATCAGGCTTCCATACAGAACACATTCGGCGAACATGTGTGTGGCGGTTCTATTATCGCACCGCAATGGATTTTAACGGCTGGCCATTGCATGGATTGGCCCAAGAAATATCTGAAGATCATCACTGGCACTGTGGAGTGGAAGAACCCAGGCGCCGTTTACTTGGTGGATGACATCAAGGTGCATTGCCTCTACAATACGCCAATGTATCACAACGATATCGCGCTTGTACGCCTTACTGAACCAATTGTGTTTGACAACTATACCGCGGCAGTGCAATTGGCTACCAACAATACGCTGCAGGATGGCGATGACTTAGCGCTCACCGGTTGGGGCAGCCAGAAGGCGTGGGGTAATGCTATAAACAATCTGAATAAAGTTAGCTTGGAGTACTTGGATTACACTGAGTGCACAAAATCAGTAAAGAATTCTAAATTTCTTGGCGATGGACATATTTGCACATCCACCAAAAGTGGAAAAGGTGCCTGCAGCTACGACTCGGGCGGTCCATTGGTCGATGCCAATCAGGTGCAGGTTGGTGTTGTCAACGGTGGTGAGCCATGTGCCTTGGGCTATCCCGATACGTTTGCCAGTGTGTCTTACTTTCATGACTGGATAGTAAGTACCATAGAAGGTACAAGCGCATGCTGAGTTGGAGGTGATTTGGTGTTGGAGAAGCAGGTGTGGGTGGATAAAAGCCAACAATGATCAACTATTTAGGTTACAATTTAATTCTTCATGGATTGATTTAAAAGCTTGCATACTCGTACATATGCCAATATGTAAGTACATGTGTGTGATAAAAACTATAATGATCTACCTTAATGCAGAAGCGAATATGTAAACCCAATTTTTTATACTACATTAAGTTATGTACTGAAAACCAAAAATAAAGAAGCAGTATTTTTAGAATTTGCCAAAAAATATAAGAATGATTTTCTATTCAGTGTATTCCATAGGTAGTACTTGGTTGAAAATCCAGTGCGGCACATAGTAAGAAACTTTCTTTGGTTTTTTAGGTTTCAAATGTGCGTAGTTAGGTAGAGTGTGCGTATGAAATTAAATAGACATTTTTGTAGAATATAAACAGATTCAATTTTTTTTGTTGCATAAGGAAAATTGAAAATGTCCTTTTAAAATTTTATCCTTGAATATCCTTGAAATAATGCAATATTTATTTTTGGAAAAAATTATATGTTACGGACTTATATAAACTCGATAACATACTAGAATTCGTCTTGCTAACTTTATCAGCTTAATATATTACCTATTAGTCCTTGTGAATCGAAAGAAAGAAGAGGAAAAAGTTAATGAATCAAGTATGAATGAATGAAGTACAAACAACCTACTTAAATATTGCATACCTCTTGGCATCGAACATTTTTACCTTGCAAATATCGGCTATACTAAACAGCAGTGTGACCAGGTTTGTAAAGTGTTTGTTGTACAATTAAGTTAAGTATCCAGCGATACGAACCGAAGAGATTTTGGGTAATCCGTCAAGTATTCAAGGATAATCGTAACAATATTTTTGTTCTAGCCTCCAAATTTTAGGTCTAGCTTCGTGGCCTTTTTTTTGGGAATTCAATGTTAACATTTTATGAGTAATTTTCATCAACGCGTTTATACATAGCAATGCAAAAATTACATAATTTTTTGAAACTTTGAATTTTCGTGAATTCTTACAGCAAAACGTATGCAACTGTGTTATTTATGTTATAAAAGAAGTCGGCAAAATTAGAAGCTCTTTTTAATAAACCCTTTTAGGCAGGGGTGTTTAAGTAAGATCTTACCTTTGGAAACTTTATTAGAAAACAAAGGAATAATTGGGGTCAGCTTATCGCTGTGTGTCTGGTGGGGGGTTAAATTGGTATAGCGTCATCATTAAATATTTCGTAAAAATGTACCCCATCTTTCGCTTAAAGAGATCAGAAAAAGGCCTTTGGTCTTTGGGCAACAAAATTTAAAAATCTATTTAATGAGTACCGCTCACCTGAATTTTTAGAAGTGGCGTTGAATTTTTCAGAGCAAAGCCGCTTTTTTAACTAGTTTTTTCACTGCCTTTTAACTTTTTATAACCTTTCTTAAAGGCAATTTTGCTCATTTTGTGCGATTATCTGGTCACACGTATATAAAGTACAAGCGTTTCGTTAGCTTAATATAGAAAAAACTTATAATTTAATGAAAGGCATCGTAATCAATTAAAAAGTGAATTTTGGATTTTAGGTTAGTTACGACTTCTTATGTTTCAGCGACGAAGTGGGATGAGGTACTTTCTATTTATACATACATATTGACGTAACGGTTTGCTCATTCAAAAAGTAAATAGATACGATAAAAAAAGTCGTGTTAAGTTAATTGAATCGCCTCACATTTATTTATCTGCAATAATATTAGTTTTTTTTTATTTATTTATATACAGCAGTTATTTTTATAACTGCACCTCTCAATTACATATCAACTTTTCACTCCGTCGCCTCTGTTGTGGCACTCAAATGTGTGCGTATAAAATCATGATAGTATGCCACACTTGCATGCACATCTGGGTATCCCTTCGCACAGGGCAATCCCCAATTGACTAACGCCACCAAGGTGCCATTGTGCACCAAAGGACCGCCTGAATCGCCATGACAAGCGCCTTTACCGTTATCATTGAAAGTACACAGATGTCCTACATCAACATAGTTGGATAGATTGTCTGGATGTGACTTGCGGCATTCGTCATATGGCACCACACGTACAGTCAGCGTCTGCAAAATATCCGGTATGGACCCACCCAACGCCATTGTACCCCAACCGGTGAGCACGAGTTCGTCATCTTTTTTCAATGACTCATAACCGTACTTTACCGCCTGGGTGTGTTCATCAAACACGATCGTGTCATTCAAATGCAACAGTGCAATATCGTTGGCGTATGGTGGATGATTGTAGCTCGTGTGCATCACAATGCGATCGGGATAGTAATATTTGCCAGTGTTGTTTTTAAGATTTTGTGCACCTGTGAAAATTTGTAATTTTGTAGCTGATGCTCCTGAAACACAATGTGAGGCAGTGATGATCCAACGCTGGTCGATAATAGCACCACCACAGAAGTGACGACCCTTAAGGTTCTGCATGGAAATTTGGTATGGTGCGAATCCCTCAGGCGCCGCTTCACCGCCCACTATGCGAGGATTTGATTGCGGCGGATAGATGACTTCATCCTCGTCCTTTGTAATAGTGCGACCGCGAACCACTGCGAGGAGGGCGACTTGGACAAGCAGTAGACCAATTATTTTGTGTTGACACATTGCGTGGCGTGGTAGTAACTACCTGATAACGAAAACAGTTCAGTTTTTATACTAAAATTAGAGCTATGCCTTATATCTATTGTAAAATGTATTTAGTATACGGCAAGTCGGGAACCCTTGCGGAGAACTTATCATTACCTCGTCATTGACATTTATGCAAGCGAAGGTAAGACCTGCCGTGACAAAGCAAAGTTTGGTAAATTAGCATATTTGTCCGCAGTGCTGTATTCACTTATTCGCATATATATGGGACGTTCCATGTCAAACGGACCAAAGCGCTGTTCAAAATTCTATGAGATAAAAATTAACGTAAATCATGCCAAAAGACTAGCGAATTTATTTGATGCATCAAACAAACCGTGGCAGAAATGAAAATTCAGTATTACGTAAATGCTGCGACCCCTAGAAGACGCCATGTCCATAAAAGCGTAAATAAATTTGTCATTAAGTTTGTTAAAATAGTTCTGAGTTATTTGATCAAGACGGATTCCAATCCCTTTAGGGTCGCTGATCACGAATGTGGCATCATAATTTCGATATTCAAAATGGCGGATCCAACATGGCGGAAGATTTTTATAGAATTTGTCGGATTCACTTAGAATCGTTACTCGGGGGGCATATGGGTCGCTGATTACGAACCAGAAATAAGATTGGAAACATTCGAAATGGCGGACCCAATATGGCGGATAAAAAAAAGCAAAATCGATTGGATTCGTTTAAAACTTTACAGTTGGGGTTTTTTAAAGTCGCTGATTATGAATCTGAAATCAAATTAAAAAAATTCAAAATGGTGGATCCATATTGGATGTACCATTTATTTACGGAAAAGTTGAAATTGAAAGTAAGTACAGGGCGTATGAGTTACATTTTAATCTCGTCTAGGTAAGCTGCTAGCTCAGATAGTAGGCCGTGAGCTCTAACAGCTTTATAGTTTTTCAGCAGCCATTCGTACCTCGTCATAGTCACGTTTTGGGATATCGAATCCGTCGTCTTCTACTAAGGGCTCGTGTTCATATTCTCCCAGGTTTCAATGCTGACTTTGTTACCCAAGGGCAATTTGATTACGGAACCCCGTCGGTCGCTCGGTTTTAAGATTTATTTGCCTTGAATACAGAACTGGACCACATTATAGAGCACAAATATTTAAGACGTCGACTAGAGGAGGCGATACTGGTCACTGCTTATAGATGGAAAACATTTCGTTAATTTGAAAGTAATTAGGAAAACTAACACATTCCCACTTCCTTGTGACAGTGCCCACCTCTGACTATGATACTGCGTTTCTAAGGGATTAATAATTTTACCAAAATGTGTAAGAAAAGCTCCTCAAAGGCAAACTGCAGTGTAAAATGTATAGATTCCCATGCACATCGCCTTCCAAAGTCAATATCTAGTAGTAGTTACTTGAAGAGATCCAAATAGACTGTGTAATATCCAAGCAGTGTCTAAACTACCTTTAAACTAGTTTTTTTTTTGTGCAAATCTATTAAATAGTTTGTTAATTGTGCTTCTATGACTCAGCACCTCCTAGTGGGCAGCTGGTCAGCATTCGCATAATTTCATAATAGTTTTTAAATTTCAATTCTTATTATTTTTGGGGTAAAGCACTGCGACCTGAAGATCGATTGTGCCCCCTGTGTGTTTGTTAACACAACATCCGAGAGAAACTTTGGTATTGAGCCTAGGTCTCTGGATTTCACTACGCCCTCGGTTACTAAATATTTAACCAAGTGTCTTTTGGGTTTGCGCATCAGTGCCGGACGGGCGCCGTGCAGTTTTGACAGCCGTTCTGCAAAATCTACATCGCTGCAGGTGATAGTTCAGCCTGCAGTGCCCTGTCAGAATTCCTGTAATAATTCTTAAATAATTCTTGGATAAGATTATATAAGGCTTTATGGATTACGTGTGCCCAAAATTGATTTGAAATGCCCTGGAGCCTCTTCCTCCAGCCGGACCAGGGTAGAGAGTGCCCCCTTTCCTACGTCACAGGAGGCCTCTCGGCCAATTGAAGGGGTTTATGCTCATTTCTTCGTAAGTTTTTCGGTTACTCGTTCTCTTCAGAGGACCTAAAGTCGATTGGTGAAACCAAGAGTATTCAGCTTGTCAAGGCACTCCATCCCCAATTTAGATGTCACGTGATGAGCGCCTTAGTGCAAGATCGCACTGTTCTGATTTCGGTAGTTCCGCTTGATATTAAGTTTCCGCCTTAAAATTTTACATATGTTATATAGATTTCGAGAAATTCAACCTCAATTCAATTATACCTATCCCGGTACACCCTTCAGTCAATGAACCATCAGTGTTCAGGGCACTGTTTCTACTAATACTACTAAGAAATCCTGCTGCGACGATGTTGGTACCCGTCACCCTTAGTATAGCCAAGTTCACCTGAGTCTGTACACACATCAATTTGAAGAGGTGTGAGATCTAAAAGAACTTCCAAGGATCTGTTGGGCAAGTTCGCAAGGCTCGGCTAGATGATAAAAGTTGCTCGTAGTTGTCGAAGTGGAAAGTTCTGCAAATAACTCATACAAGTTAACGAACTAGTCGTCTTCGGATCAGGTTTTATCAGCTAATTTAACATGAAGAAAAAAATTTGAAAGTTAATTATTTTCTCTTTGAGGTGCTTAGGCGGTCTATTACAGTAAAATTGTTTGTGATTTTAGATGTTTTGGTTTCAAATTAACGGCTAGATAAAATCCCTAAACCATTTGTGATACATCATTGTATACCCTTCGCAGGAATCGTGGGTAAGACTTTAATTCGCTAACAACTATAAAAAAGATTGATGTGTAGGTAACATTTTTATATTTTATGTATGTATTTAATGTTTAATATAAGAGCGTATTTTGTTTAAAAGTTTTAATTTAATGATCTAATGCATATGTTGACTTAAATCTAAAATAACAATCGAGCATTGTTGCTGATTCTTGAACTCTGTAAATATTTTCGTATACTAAGTGGTATGCAACAACAAATTCATAAAAAATAACATTAAGCATTCGTTGACAAAATGGAGATCTTTATTACTGTTTCGCTGGTGGTAAGTACTGAGGAGCAGCCGGATTGATGGCATTCGAAGGTTGATCCTCGTATTGCGCAGCCGTATCCTGCTGCTGCTGAAGCAACGGTTGCTGACCCAATTGTTGTTCATCTTCGTCCTCTTCCTCCTCTGGCGCATCGAGCGAACCCACAACTGAAGTTACCGGCGCTAAACCTTCATCGGTAATGGTGGAAGTGCCGCCTAAACTGTCATATTGCGATTGAATTTGACGCTGTGCATTGGCGGCCTCCTCAGGTGTGCGATACTTGATGAAGAACACTTCGGGTTTGTTAATCTGCTGTGGCTCCTCCTGAATGGCCTCTTGTAAATCGGTAGCAGAAGTCTTCTTCGCCAGCACATAAACAACAGTTTTCTCCTCTTTGAGTGCCTTGGCCAGATTTACAGCAGCAACCTTGCTGGTCTGTGCTGGTGTTTTCACAAATAGAACATTATAATGTTTGCGTGGTTGTGCGGCTAAATGGTTCAATTCTTCGCGTAACTCATCTTCGTTATCTTCAGGTGCTGTGTGTATGAAGAAACTTTTAGTCACTATAGGTTTCTTAGCGACCTTGACACGTTGACGTGAACGGCGTTGTTGTTTGGCGATACTAATTGGTGCGAGTGGCAATCGGAAGCCAGCTGGTGCAGGGAAATTGGCTGGCATGGGTAGGGGTGCAAGCTTTTGTGGTGGCACGGGATACAATGGCTGCAGTGCTGGTAATGGTTGCCTTTGTTGTTGTAGCATGGGTAAATATTGCTGACTCGGTTGGGTGATTTGCATCGGATTGCCAATACTGCCTGGCATTTGTTGTTGCAGCAAGTGCATGATTAGCGGTTGTTGGAAACCAGGGTTGTAGGGTGGATGCTGCCATTGATTATTGTTATTGTAGCCGTTATGTAGAGAAATGTCGGCGTATGCCAGTGTTGCCAATGCCAGCGAAAGAGGCTGTATAGGGAAAATAAAGTCAGCAGATTTATCAGTTTGCTTGCTAATTTGCTTGTAAGGATCATAAATATATTCATACTAACTACATATCGACACCTGAGTGGAAGATCGAACTATCCGGACAGCCAGCTCGAAAACGCCCTATCTCAGAATACTTTTCAAGAATCGGCTGCTGAGGTATGACGTTTTTCAATAAAATTCTGAAATAGGGCGTTATTCAATCAAATTCTGATGTAGGGCATTCTTGAAAAATTTTCTGAGACAGGGCGTTTTGGAACTGGCTGCCAAGATAGGTCGATCTTCCACTCAGGTGACGATATGTACATATGCACGTATACACGTATATTTTAAATCCAAAATTAAGCTCCGATTTGCTATTATTTTGCATTTTTTTTTAAGTTTTATCTTTGGTTATAAGTAAAATGTCGATTAAACGGAACCGAAGTTCGTCATCCACTAATGTTTTAGAAAAGATTCTCGTAAGTTGGCTATGGTTTGAACTCAGTCATGTAAGGTCTTTTCAAATGGAATAAATTTTATGCAAAATGTAAGTGTTTTTTTTTGGCTCGATCACGCTCTTCACTCTTTATAATTATGTGCCAAAGTTTGGCATCTTACTATGTACTGTCTTATTTTTCTCTTCATAATATAAACTCTACACTCAATTTTAAAACCTTCAGCTTTTTTACATATTTTACATATTTTAATACACTTTTAAAAACTGTAGCACTTCAAATATACGTATATATTTTTTAATCACGTACCACAAAGATCTTCATATTAATGCTTAGTTTGCTGCTAAGTTAGGTTAAGTGAATTGTTGTCTTAAGGTAAAGACCACTCGAGTTTGACTGTTGATCAACTGCAGCCACTCCTTGCTTTTTATACTAATCAACAACATAGTCGCCAACATTCATTAAATATATGAATACTTAAACATTTTCCATTTGTTAGGTTATACGGTTGATGCGCTGGGATGAGCGAGCAGTAAATTGAATGTCACACCAAAGTGACAGTCCTCTTCTGTTTGGCTTCTCAGGCTAAATAAAGCATTTACCACTTCGAAAACATATGCGACACGCATTAAGCCACCAAGCATTGTTAAACATAAAATCATAATAACAATACCCCAAAAATTTGCATTATTTTTAATGATTACAATAACAATGCGTAGAGCATAAAAGATATTACAAATCCAATCTGCCGCCCAACAAATCACCTATTTAACAAATATTTCAATTGGAAATGCATAAATAAATGGATCAAACAAAAGCATCTAAATTATAAGGTTCGACTTATTGTACACACGGTCTGCATAATGATGCATTTTTTCGAACTTAAATTTGGCAATGATCTATTCAAAATTAGTATTTAGACATAAAATATTGCATGCCAACTTTTAAATTTTTAGGCTCGTATTTCAGAAAAAGTGAATGGAGCTTAGTGAAGGCAATACAAAAAAAAATTCGCAACGATGTGATACATATTGATGTATGCATATATCGCTGGCAAATCAGGGCACAATCCAAAATTTCATGTTTTTGAGTAATATAGCGAAATAAGTTTATAGATAACCATATTTTTCTGTGGCATATCGACATATGGGCGATTCCCGCGAAAAAAGAAACATTTTTGCCATAAATGGACTCGTTAGGTAGTGGCAGGGTCGAGATTAGGAATGTTAAAACAGGGATCCCGGGATGCCGGACTTTTTAAGGTCTCGAAAATCCCGGTATTCTTGGCAAGTTATCCCGGGATTTTCGGGATTTGTAATTTGCACTAATGGCAATAATAGAAACTCCTTTTCTTGACCAGTATTGGCTATATTTCTTTTTTATTTAATAATTAATATTTTTTTTATAAATGTCGAGCTCATTATACATATAACACCGCGCGACAGTAAACTTTAAACACAAATATCAATATATTCGCGAAACTATGGGGCAAATAAAGTAAAATTGCCGTTATAGTTTTTCACTCTGAGGTCAGTAATTTAAAAATGATTTAAAAAATTCAGGGAAATGTGC